GTCCTGGCCGCCGGCCCTGCTCAGCCCGCTGACGATCTGGGGTTCCGGCTGCCGGCCCTTTGCCAGCCAGGGTCTCGGCTACCGGCCCCGCTCAGCCTCCTGCCAGCCTAGGTGAATGGAACCCCAAACCATCAGCGGGCTGAGCGGGGCTGGCGGCCGGGACCCCAGACCGGCAGCGGGCTGAGCTGCTCAGCCCGCTGCCGGTCTGGGGTTCCGTCCACCAGTTCCTGGCAGCCGGGATCTCAGCCGCCGGCCCTGCTCAGCCCGCTGCCGGTCTGGGGTTCCGTCCACCAGTTCCTGGCAGCCGGGATCTCAGCCGCCGGCCCTGCTCAGCCCGCTGCCGGCCTGGGGTTCCGACCACCCCGGCCGGCAGGAGGCTGAGCGGAGCCACCGGCTGGGACCCCAGCTGGCAGCGGGCTGAGGTCCCAGCTGCCGGCCCCGCTCAGCCCGCTGCTGACCTTGAGCGGGCTGAGTGGGGCCAGCGGCTGGGACCCCGGCTGGCAGCTGAGTGAACAGAACCCCAGGCCGGCAGCAGGCTCGGTGATGGCCGGGACCCGCAGCCTGCCATTAAAAAAAAAAAAAAAATCAGCTCGCACGCCACCTTTGGCGGGCATGCCGTAGGTTGAGGACCCCTGTTCTAGTGTATACTGTGTGTACTATACTTTATGGTAATTTTCACTATACACGATTTTCCTCTTATGCGCTAACCGTAGAACCCAACCCCTGCATAAGATGGGACTCCACTGTATTCATTTTTGAAAATGTATAATAAGCGATGCTCGGGGGGGGGAAAGGGGGCGGCGCAAAGTGGAAGTTTCGCCTAGGGTGCAAAATATTCCTGCCTGCTCCAGAGAGATCTATTGTGAGGGACCCAGTTTTCTGGCTGTACAAAATACAAAAATCTCTGAGTGTAGAGGAATCAATGCAAGCTTATGGCTTGTTCTTTTTGGGTTTATGGTGCACTCTGTGAGCATGGGTGGGGTACCAAGCAATGAAGTTTTTTTTTTCCTGGTCTAATGCCACCTGGGACCCTTTGTGCTCAGGGAAGTAGAGGCCGACGTAAACCCTGCTTACAACAAGGCTGCATCCTATCTTTATCCATCAAGCTGCACTCTGTGAAACAGAGCAGGGACTGAAGCCGCTGAGTTCTCAGCCAAAGAGAAAGGATGGATCTGCTTCTGCTAAAAAAGGACAACCCTTGGGCAGTACAGCAGTGATGAGGCATATGCACAAGTGGTCAAAGTTAAGTTCTCACAAACATCCCTAATTTGGCACTTATTTTTTCAGTGTTTTACTTTGAAATCTTAATTGTTTGAATATTATTTTAAAATCTGTATACACACACATTGACTATCACATTTACCAAAATAGTAAATTATATTTTTTCCCTTCTTGAAAAAAAAAAATCTAAAATGGTATGGTTCAAATAACATTACCTACGTGAAATACAATATATGAATTTAAAAGTTATATTAGACCACCACTCCTTGGGTCATGCCTTACTTATGTGATTGAGTGTGGAATGTTTCAGAGCTCAAAATTCAAGCTATTAAACTACTTTAATAGCAGCTGGTGTGTACTTGCATACTAATGAGGCATAACAGGGGTTATCTGCCTCAGTCATCCCTTTGTTATGCAAAACAAGACAGAGAAATTACATCCCCAAATCTGAGGGAAAGGGGAATGAGTGGATGGGAATTCTAGAACTGCATCCTGTGAAGTCTCAAGTGCCCTCCCAGTGGGAGTCAAGGGCATCTTGCAGGCTTGAGCACATAGTAACCAATATATCTTCTAAGAACAAGAATTACGATAAGTAATTTTCTTTTTTCCAAGGAAACTCCGGGGTGTCTGTGGAATTATTATTTTAAGTAGGAAGACCAGCAATGGTGTCTACAAATCTCAAACAGTGTGACATCAAATAGCAAGTAATAGTCAGACACGAAACTATAAAAATGTTCTCTCCATCCAAAATTATGTACATAAAAGGCTAGAGAATGGGAATATTCATAACATAAAAAGGGGTTTGGGACACCAAAATACCACTGATAGGCCAAACTTGGATTCTTGATATGACAGTGAGTCCAAGCTGTAGTTCCTTAAAAGCATAATAGAAAACAATGCACGTCCCATGCTAATCTCATGAAAAGGAATTGATCTGAGGGGTCCATTTGGCAGAGTAAGTACTTTTTGATCCGCAAAAGGTATACCTAGTATTCAAGGGGAGATTCAATAAAGCAGATCAGTTACTTGGTATTTGATTTGGGGGTTTAAAACTGGAAATACAAATGGAATGAATACAGAAGGAGGTTATGGGAGACAGGAGGGAATTAGGGAGGCAGTGGGGGATTGATATTTTTCTTTATGAAAATTTACAAGCAGATGTTTGTGTCATATGCACAAATACAGTTATGAAAACAATACAATACACTCAATAATAGGACATTTGCCATACAATCAGATAACCTCTTCATAGAGGATCCTGGGCATTAGAAGCTTGATCCAAAGCTCACTCAAGTGAATGGAAAGACTTCCATTGATCTCAACAGGTCAGGGAAAAAAGTTAGTTGGTCTGATGATTTTAGTGATAATCTATTCAAGATCAGACATAAGGTGTATATAATGTGTATGTAACCCCTCCGCCTCCCCACATATTTACATTTTGGATATGTCAAATTATTACCAGATTTTGATATCTATGAATGTTAAAGGATTGAACTAAAATAAAAAAAAAAAAAAGCACTCTTGGAACTAAAAAACCCACACACATTATATTACTTCAAGAACTAATTTTCAGAAAGGGCATATTGTGAGCATGCGAGGTAATTCACAAAATTCCAAGACAAAATAGGCAAGAAAACAAGGGCAGCACTAACTTATCTATCCTAATAACTTAATAGTTAGGCTGCTGAAGAGAATTGCACCCAGAGGAGCAAGATTATACATTTTATTCACATGTACATCATTTATATTTTATGTCTACAAAAAAAATCACCATTTAAATCAGAGAAGGTTAACTTCAATAAATCAGGATCTCAACAAGAATGTGCATCTTTGCTTCTGAAAGAAATATTTTATCTTTTATTAAAAAAAAAGTGGAAAAATTAGTCACGACAATAGGACCAACTGACTTGGCCTACCTCCAAGACCAACATATTTAAAGGTCTATGTGTTGTTGGCTATTGTCTTGGAACTATGGGGCAAGACTGAAAATCATTTAAACAGTATTATGTTAGGGGGGAACTTGATGAATGTTAGAAATTTGTTTGAATTTAGTTTAAGAACTGAACTTTTGCTGTATTTCAGATTGTGTCAAAACTGCTCAAAGTTACCTTGATTTTAAGTTAAGACTGTTTGGGGGAAAAGAGCTACTGGAAAACTCAGGATGGCTGTTCTTTCCTTTTTCTTTCTTTCTTTTTTTTTTTTTTTAAACACTTCAAGCCTAATGAATTGCTGGGAATGATGTTTTTGAGATTTTACCAATATACCGTAACCAGTCCTAGATTTGATTTTGTCTGATCAGACACTGGCACCTGCCACTGTGAGGGGGTACTTTGTCCAACAATGGTCCTGGACACCCAATCCAGCTTTTCCAAACTGACCTCAAATAGATCAAGAGATCTTGCCTATGCAAATAGAGGTCCACAACTCCATCTGGGAACTCTCAACAATCATATTCACCTTCCTCTGAACCAAAAAGACAATTTAGTCTCTTTTCCTTTCTCCTATCTTCTGTCTGTTTGGTAGGGGGAATTGTCTTGAAAACAGTTTTGTAAGTAAGATGAGGACGTTTTAGTTGCAACTTCTTATTTCAAATGGAGATTACAAAACCAGCTTTGTTTCTTAAACTTCCATTTTTTTCTGCATGCTTAGGTTAATTAACTGCTGAAAAACTTCATTAATTCATCAGTGTTAACAATGAAAAGCTAAACTGATTTTCACACTATAACTTTGTTAATGTGTAAGTTTTCTATACACAGTCCAAAATTTTCAAAAAGAGGGACCTAAATTTACGCTCCTAATCCCGTATTTGAGGTATCAGAGAGATTTTCAAAAGCATTTATGTGACTTATGAACCCAAGTCCAAATGATTTGAAGGTGCAAACCCTGATGAATGGCTGTAGCCTAGTTGAAGCATTCTTGACTTGTGAAAGTTCAATATATTGGAAGGGCTATTGATAGGCAATAGCACCTCCCATATTTCCAATCAGTTTTATGTCTCTTTTGTATTGTTCTCACAATAAGGGTGTGAATGAGGCCCTGGATGTGTCTTTTTTAGCACAGATGAGCATTTTAACTATGAAAGTTTTTAGCAGAAAAAATTCTTATGTAAAATCTGAAATTCTATGAACAATTAGAAAACTAAAGAAACAAGTATAAAACACAATTTAAGACTATAAAATGGGTAAAAAGAACTACTAATGTAAATAAATATTTGATTTTTTAAAAGTAAATTAAAATGTAAAAAATCATTTAAAAATATTTTTTGTAAAATATCACTTGAATCCACAGAGTTATTGAAATAGGGCAATGTTAAGGTTGTGTGTGGGTGTAGTATAGGAGACATTACCTTAACTCTCATTCCTGGTTTTCAGAAGTTTAGCAACCCTTTACATGCTGGAAGGGTACAAGGCAGTGCTAGGTAACCTCAACACTGCATTCACAAAGTTTTTTTGCAAGTGATTTTCCCATTTAAAAAAAAAATAGTGATAGTGAGGGACACAATCAAGGGGCAGCTGCGGGGAAAGGAAGGGTGGCATAGAATGGGGCTCCCTGGGAACACCTCTGCTCCACTCAGCTATCAGCTCTGCCCTCTTCCTGGCCCTTCCATGCTCCTGCTAGGAATGGAACAGTAGAGAGGCTATGAGGAGTGAACTGGAGGCAAGAAGGGGAAGGAGAACTGGAGCTTCACAGTTCCTACCCAAATCTGGATCTAGAGTCGGGGGCTCTTTTTGGAGGGAAGCAGCACATTCATCTCAGATGAATCAGAACACTCCATGTGGATTAATTCAGCTTGAAACAATAGCTCTGAGAGGTGAGAACTGTCCCATTCATCTTGATTTAGCTGGGGTTGGTCCTGCTTTGAGCAGGGGGTTGGACTAGATGACCTCCTGAGGTCCCTTCCAACCCTAATCTTCTATGATTTCAATGATTGACCTCACTCCTCCCCCACTCTCAGCACTGTGGCTGTGGCAGGTAGTGAGTGATGCCCAGTCTAAGTTCCCTGCCCCAGTCACAGCAAGGGCACTTGTGGCATGTATGGAGCATGTCCATTGTCAGCTCCCCACCCCATAGCAGTGACCTCAAAGGGAGGCAAGCTAACTTATTCATGTGCTTTTGTCAATTCTACTAGGTGCCTGTTTGTATGTCTGAATCATGGATTTTAAAGCACTTTTCAAGCATTGTCTCTTAAGTTTGAGCAAAGCTCCCATGTATGACAAGGGCCACACCATAACAGATTAAAAGGGTTAACTTAATAAATATACATAGTCATGTCAGACTATTTAATAAAACCTTAAGACACAGTGACAGCTATGGGGTGCAGAAGTAACAATGTTGTAACCATGTATTCCAACATATACCTTGCATCTTCTTTTAAATTATCACTGTACTTTGATCCAGAAGAACGGATATTAAAAGGGTCAGAATTATCACGGATATGGAGGGCTTCAGCAAAGCGTCTGCAATTTAGAAAACAAAATTTTTAATTTAAAGATGGCTTTTCAATGACAAACTGATCCACTACAGAGAGGGACCAGTGCTACAGATAAACAGCTTTTTGCAGAAAACTCCTTAATTGATATACAGTAACTCCTCACTTAATGTTGTAGTTATGTTCCTGAAAAATGCGACTTTAAGCGAAACGATGTTAAGCGAATCCAATTTCCCCATAAGAATTAATGTAAATGAGGGGGTTAGGTTCCAGGGAAATTTTTTTCACCAGACAAAAGACTATATATAATACACACATACACACAGTATAAGTTTTAAACAAACAATTTAATACTGGTACACAGTGATGATGATTGTGAAGCTTGGTTGAGGTGGAGGAGTCAGAAGGTGGGATATTTCCCTTACTGCTAAATGATGAACTAGCAAGTGGCTGAGCCCTCCAGGGTTAACTCTCTCACTCTGCAAGGGAGCAGGAATGGAGAGAGATATGCGCCTTTCCCTTAAGTACACTGCCTTGTTAATTAGATCAGCTTGCTGAGACCGCAGCTGCTGCAAGCTCCCTCGTCCTGAGCCCTGCTCTATGGAAGATGGGGTAAGTGGGGTGCAGGAGTAGGGGGGAGGGGGACACCCTGACATTAGCCCTCCTCTTCCTTCCCTCCCCCCGGCACAGCAAGCAGGAGTCTCAGGGAGCAGCTCCAAGGCAGAGGGCAGGAGCAGCACATGGCAGTGGCGGGAGGGACACAGCTGAACTGCAGGCAGCTGCTGCACAGGGAACTTAGGGGAGCGGGGAGCTGATAGGGGGGAGCTGATAGGGGGCTGCCGGTCCACTCTGGTTCCAAGTCCCCACTAGCTAGCTGCAACGGGCTGCTCTTCAAGCAGGCAGCTGCCAAACGATGTTAGAAGGGAGCATTACACAACTTTAAACGAGCATGTTCCTTAATTGATCAGCAACGTAACAACAAAACAACGTTAACCGGGACGACTTTAAGTGAGGAGTTACTGTATTTGGAGCTATTTCATTAAATTAGAAATAATCTGAGAAGACTTTTGATGGGAAAGGCATAAGATTTTAGAAAAGGTTTCTAAAATTAATAGTTTATTGATCATCTAGTACAGAATGCTACAGAGATGATCTTGACATTTTATCAGTTCTCTCCTTCACATGGAAAAATGATCTTTTCCATACAGCTTAGATACATCAAGTTAATACTTTTGTGAAAAAGTATACCAACCCACCTGTTCCTTTCAAGGGCGAAACACTCTTCATTACACTGCAACCTGGATTATCAAAGAAAAAAAAATAACACTAAAACACCTCTGCATGCTTTTACGTCTCAAATATAATGACCCAATAAAACCAATCATGTTTTTATGGCAAGATTATTTGGTTACATTCACACAATTGCAAGTAGTTAAAGGGTCTGAGTCAATATCCACTGAGAGCAATGGAAAAGTTTCCCTTGACTTCAATGTGTATTGAATCAGGTCCTAAACAATTAGCTCCTGGCTTCTAACCTAAACAAACTTTTACATTTAAACACACACACTCTCTCTCTCTCTCTCTCTGCTAAAAGAAGATTAAGGTTGCAAAGTTAACGGGCTCAAAATCTAAGAAATGCTAGAATTAAAGTGGATTATGGAATCTTCATTCAGCCCCCTTGTGTGCATTTATTAAGGGCATGCTTCTGCAAAGCCTATGACAGAGTCCTATCCAATACCACATAGGAAGTCTGTGACTGAGCTAGGAATAGAGCGCAGCTATTGTGCATCTCAAAAGTCTGAGCTATTTACATTCAACCTAAAGATTACCTTGGATTCAGTTCAGGGGTAACTGTGAAATTCTATGGTCTATGACATATAGGAGATCAGACTAAAGAACAGTATTGTGTCTCTCTGCAAAACTAAACTGGTCAATCCCATATGTAAGAGCAGACAAAGTGAGAATATGACTAACATTGGTGAACAGATGGCCTTGCTGCGCTGCAGAGTCCAGATGTGAGGTGGCGAAGTTTCTCAGTGCTCTGCTGATGTTGTCAAGGTTTGGTGGCTTCAACATTCACAAAGATAATGAGCTTCATGAATCAGCTCATGATTTGATAGTCACCAATGGCCTCTGGCAGGTGGTTACTGGTTTAAATGGTCGTTGCCCTTAATCTAGTATTTGGGTTGGGACTATGGATGAGGAAATTAGCTATTCTATCCCTGTATCATTACCTCTGAAGGTTTAGGCCTGGGACTTTGTTTTGATGATCCATCCTCTGAAACTGATGGATCCAGACCACACTATCAATGGCTTCTTCCTCACAGGTCGCATTGGAGGTTTACAGAAGATCTGTGACTGATGAAGCGGAAGATGAATTCTGGTTGCAGTTGTCTTAGCTTGTCTCTGAACCCTCTTCAATTTATCAACATCATTCTTGAACTGTAGACATCAGAACTGGACACAGTACTCCAGCAGCAGTCACACCAATGTCAAATATAGAGGTAAAATAACCTCTCTACTCCTACTCAAGATTCCCCAGTTTATTCATCCCAGGATTGCATTAAATTTTTTGGCCACAGCATCACACTGGGAGCTCACATTCAGCTGATTATCCACCATAACCCCCAAAACTTTTTCAAGAGTCACTGCTTCCCAGGATAGAGTTCCCCATCCTGTAAGTATGCCATACACTCTTCATTGCTAGATATACATACACTCATTTAGCCATATGAAAATCCATATTGTTTGCTTGTACTCAGTTTATCAAGCAAATCCAGATTGCTCTGAATCAGTGACTTTTCCTCTTCATTATTTATCACTCCCAACCAAACCAACCCTGATATATTGGGGTTTACAATAGTGGTCATTGCTCAGTGTGATCAATTTGTTGAAAGAGGTAATTGATTATATAATTGACAATTATTACTTGTGCAGCCATGTAGTTCCAGAGTTCTTCAAGGTACCGACAAAGTCACATCATGTCTTACTTGCACAAACCAATGGAAGGGACCTTTCTTTGACATCCCCATTCTTTCCATCTGTTTTGTTTTTGATTCACATACACATTTGCAGTTCCATGTTTCAATACATTGCCTTTTCACAAACAGTTTACTTGGCAGTATCTGAGAGATGCCAACTTTAGCAGCAGCTTCCTGATAATTACTCTTTTGATTACAGTATCCAACAATGCTGATAACAGCAACAGGAGAAAAGTGTGTGCTTCCTCAACAGCAGTGACCCAAAGCAGGCAATGGCTCTCTAACAGACAAGCAGCAGTGCTGCAAGCTTCCTCAGGAGCAGTGTCTGGCCCAAAGAAGGCACTGTCTCTATAATAAGCAGACTCCCTCAATCCTCTCAGCAGGAAAAAGAGGCTCAGTGGCCTATCATGCAAAAGACTTGTTACAATATCTAACTTTTCCTTTCTTCCACATAAAAGAAGAATGAGATGGTTATCTTGTAGATTTTTTCAATAAAGACCATTATGCTTCAAAGATTTCTATGGTTAATTTCCAAGAAGTCAATTAGGGCACTCCCCAAAGCTCATTCGTAGACCATCAATGGTCTGCAGATTACGGGTTGAGAATCACTGCCCTAATAAACTAGACAAAAGTTAACTATATGCAAATGTGGGAATAACCCAAACCAGAGGTTTCTTCAGTTCTGAGAGGACACATTTGCAGTAAGATCAAATTGTTTGTTCTCACATACAGAAAAAATTCTATTTTGGAGACTGATGAGAATTAGCAAGCAGTCCATCCAAGAAAGAAAAAAAAAGAAAAAAAAGAAAACGTTGGGGAGGGAAAAGAAAGAAGGAAATGAGATTTCAAGGGAGAATAGCAGATTGGAGGACGCAGTGACCAAGTGCAGCATCTGAAGAAGCCGTTACATATACTTTGTATTGATTTGTATATGTAGAGATTACCAACTGGTTTGTGTCCAAAAAGCAGAGAGATCTTGTAAAATATTATTAGACTAGACACTATCTACCTTTTGTATAAACAGACTAATCTGGAGAGGGTTGTCCCAGTACTTTGAGTGTGTTCTTTCCAGGAGAGAAGACAAATAAAACATCTGATTTTCTAAAAGATTTAGTCCTGTCCAGGTACAATTTGACTGCTCTTTAAACATTCAAATGGTGCAATCTGATCTCTTGAAGATGAAAAAGTTTAGGATAAAATGTGAGAGAATGTGGTCCTGATGAGGAGTTTTTCTTGGACTGTAGATTACTTAATACCTTATGCTTCTGCTATTAGAGTCGGAATATCTTGAAACTATTTGAAATCTTCTAAGGGAGAAACTGGAGTACTCTATCATGATGTCCTTGAGAGAAGAGAAGGAATTCTGAGGATTCTGGCCTACAGGCACTGCTCCTGCTTGTTATCCGAACAGGAAGATTCTGTGTCCTCTACCTGAGGTGCTGATGAAACCATGACTGATGTTATTCTTGATACCACAGGAGCTGAACCTACTATGGTTTATTTATGAACTGTAGGTGCTGGGGGTATAATTGCTCTAGGGTTCTTTCAGTGATTGTGATTAAGAAATTTTGAGTTCACAGAAGTGGCATTGATTGAGGCTCCATAACAGGGTAGTTAGTCTGGGGGTTCCTCTGAAGGAAGGTCCATGCTGGCAAGGCACCCCATAGAGGCCCAATTCCATAAGGGTAAGGTAGGGGAAAAGCTCTTAAAGTGGGTAAGGGTAAGGAGATGAAAATCACATCAAATAGCTGGATCCAGAGGGAGGAACCAAGTGGGTTTTTTGTTCCAAAGTTGAGATGCTTTGGAATAGGAGTCAGAGGTGTGTAGAACCCGCACATTCGGTGTTGTATGTGAATTTTCAGAACTAATGAAACTATAGGCTTTCGTTTTGGAGTGATAGAAAGCCTTTGACTTGAGTGAACTGAAATTTCCTCCTGTGAAATGAAGGACTCATTTGGATCATCACTAATCAATCAAGACTGGTGGTTCCAGGTAAAGAACTGAACTGAGAACCTATGCTGTGGTAAGAGATTGAGGCAAACCTTGCAACACTAGGGAGTTCAATAAATGCACCAAAGTACACTTCCATACTGGGGAATGCTTTCCATTGCAAAACCAGAGGCAACAATGTGAGCACCAGCTTGTGTCTTGGTGCCAGCAATAGCAACTTGCTCTATGGCACTGGGGCCCGTTGTGTTTCCAAGATATTTACAGTTCCAGCCTTCTTGGAATCATAACAATGAGCCTTTACTATCTCTCTGACTTCCTCAAAAGAGGAGAGCCTCAGAAGTGAGACTGTCAAAATCCAGAAAAAGCTGCAGTAAAAATCTGCTCACTGTGTACAGAAACAGCAGACAGGCTGCCTCCCTGTGGCGCAGCAGGCACCACAGCTGAGAAACAATGTATGCAATCCCTACACGCTGGCCAGATATGTAAGAATACAAATAAGGTGTGCTGAGGGGGCATGTGAGGGGTGTAAATTGCCTGACACTTGGTAGCCCTGGGCTTCAAAAAAATTCTGACTTTGTTTTTGGCTCTTAGGCTTGTTTTTTAATGACTGTTAATGACAAACCCAATTTTGAGATGACCACAAAGTTATCTGACTGGGTTAAAAAAAAACAAACATAGGAAATGTTAAATATGTAATTTTCAGGAGCTCTCTGAAGCCATGGCTGCAGAGGCACACATCCTTGTTCCATATCTGAAATACAATTCGGACAGCAGCATGCCTGCATTCAATACAGTAGGGAAATCATTCTAAATAATAATAATAATAATAATAATAATAATAATAAAAAAAACCAAAACCCCACAAACAAAGATTTGAAGATTCTTATGGAAACTGAATGAGAATCCTAAAATATCAGTATTGTTAATACAGACAGGCTGTTAAAAAGTTTTCCTGATTTTAATTTTGGACTTTACCCACAATGCCGCACATTTTTTCAGCAACATATACATTTCAGTTCAACATTTATAGATTGCTAGAACCCCTCCCATACTTGATTCTTCATGATTACCTTGTTTGCTTCATTTCTTTTTTGGTAATCAGCCTACTGATTTCCACTGAGTCTCCAAGTTGCAGGTCTGTTAGTTTAGTGGCTATGGATATAGCAGCTATTCTGGAAGAAAAAAAACCCATTAGATTTTACTTAATTCATATGCAAAAAGATCACTTGGCAAATAGCATGGAACTACAGACTAGTAGTCCAGGTGAGACACCAGAGAAATAAATAAGTTGAAGGAGCCTGCCATTATACTCCATACCACTACTTTAAGGTTATGGAGTGTGGAAAAGGGAAGACTTTTTAAACTGTGTGGCCAGCTGGGATAGTAGGTGACATACACCAGCATAAGAGTTAGAGGCATTTGTGGGAGCAGGAAGTGGTGGCTGACATGCAAGACTCTAAGGCCTTGCCTACACTCGGGAATTCAGAGTGCTGCCGTGGCAGCGCTGTGAAGCGCGAGTGTAGTCGTGCCGCCAGCGCTGCGAAAGAGCTCTTGCAGCGCTGTATGTACTCCATCTCTCTGAGGGGAGTAGCTTGCAGCGCTGCGAGCGAGCGTGCAGCGCTGCAGGCTCTGATTACACTGGCGCTTTACAGCGCTGCACTCGGGGGTGGGGAGCGTTTTCACACCCATGAGCGCAGCAAGTTGCAGCGCTGTACAGCGCCAGTGTAGCCAAGGTCTAAGCTACACAAGAACAGGACTCCACTCCTAACTACCCTTTGTAGAGAAAACACCAAGAGAGAGAGATGCAAAGAAGGAATGCAAAGCTGCATGCAGAAAAGCTGAGGAATGAAAGATGTCAGGGAAATTATAATTTTTGTAGATTTTACACAAAACACATTTATGTTGCATCTTGGTAAAAATGTAATGTGTCAATTCGCAAGGTTGCATAATTACATTCTAAAGCTAAGTTGGATGAAGCCTGGCTTATGCTCTGATTGAAGATATCAAAGGAAACCCGGGTGTTCAGAAAGTGGTGTGGGAGACGCGGCAGATGGCATGCTATTGAATACATGCTACTGGAGATGTCAACTTCAAAATGTGATGTAAAACTAAGACTCTTACCAGAGTCACTAAAATACCCATGGCACTTTTCAGAAGAGTAAAGAAGTTAACCCACTTTCCTGGTCAAATGTCAGTATCTGCCTAACTAATATCCCTACAGTTTCATTTGTGAAAAAAATTCTTCATATCCCTGTTAAAAAAAAAAAAAAATGTAAAACAGCTGTCACATTTCAACCCTCATATAACTGTATTTTAATTGTGGATAACGAACCCCGAAAATACGGCCTATAACACACTTTGAAAACATTTTAGGAAGAAAAGCATTACACAAACTGTAATGAAACAGTAGCAACTCTATAGGTAAAAGACCACTCATATCTAACTTTCTGTGAAGGAAAAAAACAACGCTGATTTTCTTCCTGAAATTTCTCATGTTTATAGTGAATCATAAAAGGTGAATTTCTGAAGAAAATTTGAAGTTAATATGGCATGCCAATTTTGAAATAAATCTGAAAAGGAAGAATTCTGTCTTGAGAATTTTCTCTCTTGCCACTCTTCACGTCAGACAGTCCCCACAGTGGAGCGCCACTGTCAAACTATCTGAGATGGAGGGTCCTAGAAAGAAAATACTCAGGTAAGAGAATTTTCCCTTCTTCATTTCCTTCATATGCCAGTCTTCACAGAGGCATGCAGAAAGCAGTTGATCATCCTTAGGGAGGGAGGGAGGGAAGGATACAACTCAACTATGTAAAAAATTAAGACACTGGGAGGCACCATGTTCCATAACAGACTTCTACTAAATGCATCAGCAGAGGAAAGGATGTTGATTATACTATTTTGAGAAAGTGTGGATGGAAGACCATATAATGGCTTTTACAGACCTCCTCACCCATTAAATTGCTGCTCCTTCCACAGAGTAAGCAGTATTGGAAGGAGCTCTGAATGCCCTGTGTATACGCAAACACCTTTACCCCATTGACAGCCTTTTCACATCCAACTTACGCTCTTCCATTACCTTAGAACAGGTGTAGTCAATTATTTTTTGTCAATGTCCAAATTTCTTGGTCAATGTCCAGACTACACAGAAAATTAACCCCCCCCCC